TTTAGCCCAGCATCACAAAATTGAATTTATATTTATACACACATGAAACTAGCCTAATCGCTTTAAATAAGACATTTTTAATTTATGTAATAATAATTTTAATAATGTACTCTTGATGAGAACAAGAATTAACGCCTATGATATCATTTTTCTGCCCTGCACCTACTTTTACATGTTTAAGTTCGTCCTTCTGTTTATGTGGTGACGGGTTAAAAATACGGAGTGTCACCACCGATGTCTGTGAGCCCGTGGGTGTCGTAAGGGCCTACTAAGGGGGCAAACTAAGCAGGACAATACCACTGCAAAGAGAAGGAAACCTTGAAACAAACCCTGTACAAACCCGTCTGGCCTGCTTGGTATTGTAGGTCAAAACTTCCTTCCTAAGGAGAGGCTTATATCCATCAGTAGATTATTAAAGGCTGTTGAAATGATATTGTGATGACATGTTTGAGTTCAGCGCAAAGTGTAATATTACATAGGATTTACATTTTTTTTATGGCTGAACGACCAAAGAAAAAACAACCAAAACCTAATTAGGTACAAAACCAGCCTAACGCCTTCGAAAGGGACAGAAGAATCCCAAAAAGTTTCCTTTACCTAAGTTCTAGCGAGCTATGGTAAGGGATATCGTAAGTCTTGGTCGGATCTCAGGACTAAGACAGTAATTCAAATAGGAAGGGGTCATATACCCGTGTGTCTAGAATGTGATTAGAGATTACATAAGTATCAATTATACTAAAATCACTTAAATTAGTGAATCTGAGTGTTATTCTCTCTAGTTAACCAAAACTTCACATACTTCAATGTGTACCTACCTATTTCTGACAATTTCAGTAAAATTAAGGTATAAAATCCATTTCCTTGTAACTTTATCCATAACTAGCTGACCCGCGCAACTTCGTCTGCGTCTCTCAATAGTAATAAATTTTCTCCGTTTTTGAAACATTCTTCATTGGTGCTCCGCTCCTATTGGTCTTAGCGTGATGATATATAGCCTATAGCCTTCCTCGATAAATGGGCTATCTAACACTGAAAGAATTTTTCAAATCGGACCAGTAGTTCCTGAGATTAGCGCGTTCAAACAAACAAACAAACAAACAAACAAACAAACTCTTCAGCTTTATAATATTAGTATAGATTTACGGAAATAGAGCTACGCGTAGGAAGCAGACAGCTGAGTAAGGGATTAGTCACGGAGTGCCGCCAGCATAAATTAAACAAATCCCTGAAGAGGAATGTGCTAACTAAAGCTAGAGGTATGATTATCAAGTAAATTGCTTGTATGATTTCTTTTGTGGTTCGTTGTTGAAAAGAAAGAGAACAGAGAATGGGTAAAGTTTTTAGAAGACAAAGTTGAAACTGAATGATAAAAGTTACCGAGTAGTAAATCTAAGATTTCATTGACATAATTTTGATTCATTTCTTTAAACTTTGAAAGGTAAAACGAAAACATAAATAAATCCTTAAACGTATTATATTCTTTATAGTCGCTTTAACTTTTTTTTAAGGATTTATTTTACCATTTTAAGTGTAATATACGTTTGTAATGAGTAGATACGATAATTAAAACGTAGTGTTTTGTGTAGTGTAGTGTATATAATTTTTTTTTTGTCTTTGTAATCTCATTTATTACTTTCTTGTACACATATCTCTGTAACCCAACACAAACACCTAACAAATTTCTTGAAAAATAAAAAAGGTCAATACATGATTATATTAATAAAAGAGTTATCTTCTAACTCCTAAAGGTCAAGAACCCTTCCATCATCAGCTCAGCAATACGAGATAACGAGTAACCACTACCAAATGTAAAAACCTGTATAGCTAAAGAACCAAGCTAAAACACGTTGTTGGGGCTTTAAAAACTAGGGTTCCAATATCAGATCCTTATTATAATAGTAATGGTAACGGTAATGGGACCACCTCGGGAATATGCCCTTTCGATTACAAAAATAATTTTAAAAGTCGGTCTACAGTTGAAGGAGATATCGCATAACAAACATACAAAAAAGTCGAAATGAGAACCCCCTTTTTTGTGTTTTTGAATTCAGTTAAGAAAAAACATTTTAAGAAGTAGCATGTATGACAAGCTTATTACTTAAAAACTACACTGTAATTACTAGGTAACTACATTTTGAGTTTCTTACTAATCAAAATAAATATTTAGTCACACAACTAATGTGTATTGCTTATTTACACATTTACATGTATGGGCATACATGTTTAACTAGGCAAGTAATTAATTAAAACGATGTTGACACATTAATGCCTATACACATATTAATATATCAGTTCACACTGACAACTAAGATACTTATCATTCATGACTTCATGTGAGGTTTCGTTAGGTTATTGTATGTTGAATATGTAACAGTTTTTGTTATTGTAAGTTTAACAGTATATCGTCATACATCACTTAAAAATACAGTCATTTATTTTTTTCGTGTAAAGGCTATTTAAAATAACAGTGACTTGTGAGTGTGTTAAAAGAATAAATGAAATCACTTAGAACGTGTTTTGTTGTGTTTAAGAAATAAAAAGAGAAAATTATATTAATTTATTACGTAATATAATTTTATTACAAGATCTCTGAAAAAAATGAATATTTCAGATATTCTAACTTATTATTATGTTAATAAGCAATTCAACATTATAATGATATGAGGTTTTAAAGAAAAAAGAAAAGGCTAAAAAGGGCGTATAATTTAGAAGACTTAATTTTTTTACTTAACTGTTAAGTTATGCTTACTTGAAAAACAAAAAAAAAAGAAACCTATGAGAGAATAGCTATGAGCGATATAATCATTTTTATGATCATGAGATTTGAAAGACCTTACAACGTGCAAGTTGCCCCAAGGCTTCGGATACAAGAAAAAATGGTGTACAAGAAGAAACAGAACGTATAAAAAAGAAAAAATCTAAACACAACAAAAGAAGCATTACGGTGATTACGGTGCTATTTTACAATAAACTGATGACAATTCATTACAAGATCAGCAACATATTGTGCTTATGTTACTGAAATACTACTTATTTTCAAGATAAATCCATTAAAAAAAATTACATTCTGCATTCTAATTTAGTAATAAATTGATACAATGATTTACTCATATTTGTAACTAGCTTTTACCCGTGACTTCGTTCTCGTAGTATTCATTTTGTCAATTATTTTGTACGCGATAAAATAATCTATGCCCTATTCCAGACTATAATCTATGTTTATGCCAAATTTCATCGAATTTCGTTCAGCCGTTTTGGCGGGAATGTGTAACAAATATCCAAACAACCAACAACAACCTCTGCAGCCTATCACATTTATAAAATTAGTATAGATGGTAATACTAATTTTTCATGCTAAAGGCTGATCAATAAATAAAAATTACAACTCTATTCAAAGTTAAACCGACGTATGCAAGCGACTCTACTACGACTACTAAATACGACTAACAAATCCTTTTTAAAGAAAGTTGAAACGACTTGAAACAATATTAACAAAGACCACTAAAAAGCTAGCAGCAATCGCGGTTAATTTGCTGACATTTTTTGAAGAGTTCCGTTGTCTCCGAAAATCATCATCAGGTCTTTATGAAATTGAAATGGGACCATTTCGGAATAAAGCTCTTTCGAAAAAAAAACCGTCTATATTTGAAAGAGTCATGCCCTAACATACATACAAAAAATTTAAACTTCCGAATTGATAACCTCCCCCCTTTTAAAGTCGGTAAAAACGGTAAAAACAAATATAGTTTGTCTAATTAAAACCTCCACCACAGAATCATTAAACACGGTGTAATAAGTTCCGAGGCTTCGAATTACATTATATGAACCTATAGAAAATAATTTTCAAAGTATCGCATAAATTTTGTTTCAATATAAAACAAAATTTGATTCCATTTTAGACACAGTTTAATTTAATTCAAACAAAGTTATTATCAGCTTCAGATAGATTCTTATTTATTTGAAAATCACTTTTATGAGTTCTTTGAACATAAATCGAAACTTGGGCCTATTAATGACGTCAGAGGTATAATTTGATAATTAAATAATTTATAGGACAACTAAAAGAGCATTTTTCTTAAACATTTTTAATTGTTGCTTTTGAACTGACGGAATATGTGATTATGAAAATGCAATATATTATATAAATGTTGGTTGGTTTGTGTATGCTTTAAAAACTCAAAAAGTTCTGCACCGTTTGAGCTCAAATTTTGACACGATATACAACACGCTTCAAAGATTGTTTTTTTTTTTGTTTTTCGTCCTTATTTCTCATCAATGCAACCACAATGTTCCAGAGCGAAACGTGCCAGGATACAACTTACTATACTTATTAGTAGTATAATAAGTATATTATAACTTATTATAATATACTTATTATACTAATTAAATTTTTAGTGTAGGCTAAAAACAAAATTAACGTTTAAATAGCTGAAGCCATTGGCTAAATCTTAAGGGTAACCTTATTCGTAATAAAAATATTATTTCCATAAATAACTATATTTCTAAAAAAATATGTACAACGTGTAGAGCAATAAGATTGAAAAAACTGCTAACCACAAATAAACAGTAAACTAGATCTTACGAAATGGAGTCACCAGCTTTAGAAACTTCAATCATTCAATGTTTATTTTGTTTAAAAAATTATTGATAATTCCTATTAAGGGAAATTATTACCAAAGTATATTAAGATATAAACTAATGGTTACAATTTTTTTAACCTCACACTTCTCACACCCGGCCATCGAATGCCAAACTACACGTACCTGGAAATATATTAGAATGTTTATCAGCAATCTGGTTACCATTACTATGGTAACCAGATTGCTAATGAACATTCTAACATATTTCCAAATACATACATATTATAGATAAATTATACCCAGACACATAACAAGTTTAACTATCGTGTTCATCACACAATTATTTGTTCTGGTTGAGAATCGAACCCACGACCTCCGGTTTAGCAGTCAAGATCACCCACTACTAAACTAATAGGCTCGTCAATATGTCTCTGATAAAATCTTAAAGGCTTCGTTTATTTTTTCTGGGTACTCATACGCCGGCTGATCGTTCTTCACGATCCATGTTGACCCGCTTTTTCCATGCTCCATCACATGTAAAATGCCAGTCACAGCTGATGCTACCCTGAAATTTAAAATCCAGTGTTTAATATGTTTGTATCATATTGAAGACCGTGGGAGAGACAGACTCGGCACAATATCAGAAAAAGTTAGGCAATTCATTCGTTGCTTTTCACCGAATGAGTGACAAAAACCCCCGTAGTTCTGGGGGAGGAGACAAAAGACGGCAGCGCACTTGTGACTTGTCAGTAATGAGTGTCTTGGGCGGCGGTGGCTCGTATCTAGGAAAAAGAAAAAAAAAACAGTAGCATTTCGGGAATGCCGACAAAAATGAAAACTTATATACAGAGGTATCGGTAACGGTAACGGTACCAGTGTCGCGATTACAATGTTTTTTTCCTATCTCAAAAAATGTATTTTTTGTTAAACCATAAAATACATTCTTTTGTATGTTGTTCAAAAATGCCCAACGCACCTAAAGAAGTTTCAAAAAAATATACTGTGTTCTGATGTAATGATTATCTGAAGTCACACATTTCGCAATGTAAGTGTGTTAAGTAGCCACTATCCTAACCACCATGTCCTCGAATGTTTGGTGCGGTTACTTGATCATTATCAGTAGGATACGCAGATGGTTGTGATGCGTGTGGATTCATTCAGTCCCTTCGTATTTATGACTACGTGATGATGTAGTGTTGTGTACCTAATCATCATCTTTCTGTTCTTTGCACATTTACATTCGGGTCAGTGCAACGTATAATATTACATAGGGCTTTTGCTGGAAATGACTTACAACCCTTGTCTGTTAAATCTAAAAGGCATTAACCCTTAAAAAACCTATGGAGGCGCCAAAGAAAACAGGCACTCTTTATTAATAAATTTCGCTTTTTACTGCAGCAGCACTTTATAATGAATTTCCTGGCGTAAAAATTATTTTGATGCGTAACGTGATGTAGCAGAAAGGGTTATAAAATTTAGAAGTTAGGAAATAATTTTCTACTTCCAACAACATAATAGTAATCTCTTACATTTGAAGAGTACTTAAGAACAGTTACTTTTCCTTTATGAAAAGTATCCTATTAGGTATAAGGAAATTCAAAATGATAAATTGATTGGTTTAAATAGTCAAAAAAATAACGAAATATTTACTTTTGTCTGCTTTGGACTCTTGACGTGAGCTGTTCACTAGATTTTTTGTCAAAATTCTGCAAGTTACTCCTGTCCAGGATCGCAGTGTCCGTCGGTCCAAGGCATATGGTCATAACACGAACGCCACTCTTTGAATGTTGCTCCTGTGCCTAAAAATAAATAATAGGTTAAAAAATGCTAGATGAAAATATGGCACTCGTTTTTAGGGTAATCGAGTTCACAATTAAATCATATTCTTCAACTAAAAACATATTATGGATAGGACGCTCTGGGACTAGTAATGTAATGTACGTACGTATTTGCGGGTTTAAGCCCCATCCAGCGTTATGTTGCTGTGAACCCACATCTAACATAAGCTTATAACTAAACTAGAAAGTTACCTACGTAGTAAATTTTATTTCCAAAAAACAAAAAATAAAACACCTCACACGATCTAACAAGAACTATTAAAATGGATTTTAAATCTCATTAACCGTAACCAACACAGCTGAGTCTAAACTACTAAAAATTTAATATAGAATTTTATACCTCCCTCGTGTCAACAGTAGAGGTACTAAAATACCATCAACTGCCAGAAGCTGAAATCTCAGTAAATTTGAGCTTAAAATTTTAATGTAGATACGAGACAAGAATTTCTTACGGTAAAACGAAGCTGATTCTCGGTTAGATCACTGCACTCAAGTTATACATTAACGTATACTCTACGTTCGGTACATGATCTTTGTATCCTGTCCCTTGCAAAAAAAAACAATATAACAAAATTAGACTATTTAGACTTGAACCTAATTCTGCTACAATAAATATATCTAATGGATATAATATTTTTAGCAGGCTCCGTTTACGCGTGCGCTGCGTACGCTCAATGCTGTGTGGGAACTGTCGGATTATCTTGACATTTTTTCATATTCACTTAATGTGTTCACAATGGCCATGGCTAGCTCTAGTTTTTATTTTTACGTTTTGTGTATTGTATCATAGATTTCTTTTTATTGTAAGTCTTGCAATATTGTATTGGTGTATCTATAATAATTTAATATAGTCTGATTAATTATAAAAAAATGTAATTTGCTCTTCCTCTGCAAATAGCTATACTATAGTCCAGTCATTTTAAAGGTACTTTATTTCAAACTGAATTCTCAGATTGAGGTCTATCTTATATCGACAACACTACTTACTCCCATAGCCATACTAAATTGAAGTACAGCCGTTTTGGTAGATGCATATACAGGTAGGCGATTACTGAGATGCGATATATTGATCACAAGACCTCCATTACTGTACGTGCCGTTGTCGCGTCCCATCACTTGAAAGGCTTTCATTGTACTGTGCACTACTGCAGTCTGAAAGTTGTTTAATAAGGTCTTAGAAATGTACGATCTTAATTTAGATTCACTTCTATTATATAAATGTCTCAAGAAAGTAGGTACACAAAGAGAAGAAGGAAATTTCAGAGACCTCTCCAGACAATTGATTTGTTTCCAATTCGAAACAAATAGTTGTGTAATGAGCAGAGAATTTGTTTTGTGTCTGAGTGTAATTTATCTATTATTTTTCTTTGTATTTAGAAACATATGATAAGTACCTATGTTAATCAACAGTTGATAAAGTACATAGAATGGTAGTTGAAATTATACCGGTCAATAAAAGGTGGAACAAATTAAACTTAAAAAGATCCATTCAAAAGTGAATGAATGATGGTCAACTATCGACTCATGGGCAATGTCTTGATAAAAAAAGTAACAAAAATAAAAATATTACTGAAAACGTACAACCGACAACACTGTTATTCTGTTGATACAAGTTTGTTTTTATATCATCAATAAAGATCCAATATAAATGTAAAAATAAGTGTCCAAAATAATATATAAAGATAAAATACCAATCGTACATTACAAGTAATATTTACTGATAACGTACGATTTAAATGGCATAACTTAATAATCCTTGCTGTGATAATAACAACAGCTAACTTACCTATAGCTGCAATCACCTATATCCACACAACACTCAAAGTAACTCATGCAAGAAATTGTTACTCACAAAATTAACATCGACCATTCTCTTGTACGAGTAGATGCTCTCGTCAACACTCAAAACGGCTGCATTATTTATTACTCCATCTAGTCTTCGATATTTTTTGAGCACATATTTGTATGCATTTGCTAGTTGCTCTTCGTCAGATACATCGCATTTGATGAACTTGGCTGTGAGTGGACCATACTTGTTAAGAAGTTCAAACTCAAGCAGAGAGCCTTCACGATCCAATACGTCCAAGAAGGCGACATGCTGCAATAATTTCATCAATATTGCTTTCATTGGCATAGTTTACCAGAATTAATTCTGTAGAGCTTAGAACGTTGTAAATATTAAATTCTAAATAGGACTTTCACTGAATGTCATAAAATACAGTCCCCTGCCGCATCTTTCCGTCTGTTTATTTATGCGATCAGTTCTGATACTTTGTAACCACAAAGCACCGGTACTGTGGTTTAACTAACAGGCAACACATGGGACCATAGAAAAAATAGAAACATAAATTAAATTTTACGATAACACAAACCTTATGTTTCAAAGTAGATGCTGCGGCTAAACTGTTGAATAAGCTAATGTTTAACTTTGTACTCTTAACCGCACTATTAAATAATGTCGGTTCGTATTTTATACATATCGTTTTACCGTATACAATATATTACTCGTAACTAACATAGTACTATGTCACTTTTTTTTTGTATGTATCATGTCTTGTATCCTAATTATGGTGTGCAAAAAAGAGTACCGTGCAAAATGTACAATTTTTGAACATATTTTTCAAACCACCAGTCAGTAACAAGTCCTTTTAATTATAAGTATTACTTGAGAAAGTAGTGAAGTGCTAAAAAAATAACTTGTTTTATACATACAATAACATAGAAAAATATTCTATTAATTTAATTGTACGTCACACAACGGCAGTCAATAATAACGACTTCGTAGAGCGAGTTGTAGAGCAAGAAAAGGTGGAGGGATCCAGGTTTCGCGGCAGTCCACCTATACGGTGGACCGAACACCGGACCGTAAAGAATCAGATGAAACCGCGTGTCTAACTGTATCCGACAGTCTGCCAACGGCGAGAGATGGAGGGCAATCCTATAAAGGATTGTATCCGCTCATACCACCGAACGTGAACTAAATTTACTTGCTTTGATAGTTTAAATAAAAACTTATCTCAAACTTAAATCAGGTCTTAATCAACACTAACCCTTGCATTTTCTTCTAGCAATGCCCTAACTACTCCGGCTCCTACACCAGCCGCTCCACCAGTTACCAAAAACACCTTATCTTCAACACTTAAATATCGTTTCACTAATTCACTTGCCATGGCTAAATTTGTTTCATCAACTACATATAACAGTGTAATCACTCTGAATGAAAACAATGTATTAAACGTTTATCAAAATCATTCTCCTAGCTGATACAGAAATTATCAGCGCGATAAGGATTGGAATTGGAAATGAAGAATTGTACTATTTGACTTTATATTTATTTTGTTTGTGTTATTTTCATACTTTGACCGACGATAATATACTTCTAATAGGCAAAAATTACCAAATCACAAATAAATAGTCAGATACTGACATATTTATTAATATATGTTTATTTTGAATATTGGAAAAGATTGGTAAGATGAATATAACGCAAAAAATGATAAATTACAAATCTCTCTTGCTCAGTACCACGATTGCGGCCATGGTACGGAGAGAGAGCGCGTGGACCTCCGCCGTCTGTTGTAATTTGTTTTATAATATGTATGTATTCACAAACATTTTTTTTTTTAGGAATTCTATCAGTCTATCTAGCTTTCATAGTACAAGCTCTACTAAATTTGAAACTAGATGACGTTATGTCGTAAAATATTATCATTATTGTTTGTAAATTCAATGACAAGAGATCTAAATTACTAAGTACAATAATTTCTGAAGGATATTCTCTCACTGAATTCAAATGAGTTCGCAATTTTATTCACAATGCTGGGAATTTAGAGGAAATTAAATAAGTAAGTTACACTTCAGTCTCTAACTTTAATTGGAATCTTTGAATAGTCATTATAACAAGCCTAATGATAATAATACTTGGACGAAATAATGATCCAATCTTCCATTGAAGCGACCGAAATAAAAATCTTACTCAATAATTTTGTTGAGTTTTCTTCTTAGCTTCTGAGTGTGGCTAGAGATTATGGTTACAATTTTATGTATAAAGCCCTCATATCCTTCCTAAAGTACGACAAGTTATAAATATAACTGCAACGTCACTGCCACTGATTCAATAACAGTAAATGGTATCTGACGCATCAGTCAAAAGTACTAATACCGGTTAAAAATATTTTTGGCAAGTGTTCTGACTGTAACATACTTATTTTTTTCTTTAATTAAAGCTTAATGCACATGTTGTACAAAGGCGGACATGAGGCATTCTCTCTCGGTCGACCTTCAAGTGATGTAGAAATACATATGATGCAGTAGGTGCAAAGATAAAGTATTAAATTTATCGTAGTTCATAATAGTTTGGTAAATGAGAGATACTACATTAGATATAACTAATATACACGAATACATTGCTACATATATTATTATATTTACATAGATTTCCAGAGGCATACACAATACATACACACTATATAAACATACACATACCTACATAAATTTAATTTAATGAAAGTACACAATCGCTTACTAGCGTTGTGACTGTTCTGCCAATTCACATCAACATCCTATACTAGTCCACTGCTGGACATAGGCCTCTCCTTTTCTGCCAATTCATTCCGAAGAAATTCGCGTACTTTTGTATTAAATGTTTTTGGTTGGTGGTGCTTTACTAATATCTCCAGTCGTAATGACTCAGAGAAACAGACCATGTTCCACCGTCGCTGGTTTTGGCAAAGACTGCATTATCCATTGCTCAGGAAGCTCTTTCGAACTATGGCTAAATCATGATCTGTTAACACATGATACATATCGCCGTGGCCTGATTGCGGCATTGTTTTATATAACTTTTTTCATACTCTGACACTGTCTGAAAATGACGATTCAAAAAGATAATATTTAAATCGGAAGACAGGATCTTTTTAGAATGTCCTATTGACATTTTATTTATAGCTTTAGTATTTCTGTTCAATTTATTATATTAATTTTATTATACATGCCGATAAGTTTGTTTGAAATAAAAATAAAGAAAGCCATATAAATAAGCATATTATTTTATATCATAATAGTAGTACACATACTAATATTAAGAATATAAAATTCATCGACAGTTTGTTACTTTGCTTGTACAGGAACGGAAGCTAACAATTTCATATCTTTCGTATGTAGTATAGTTTAAATACTATTTAGGATATACAAAAGAGCCGTACTATAATTATATTCGGCTCTATTCCTGAATGTAGGACATAACATCCAATAATGAAGCCAGAAAATTCCTTCCAATGAACACAACCCAGAAGAAATGTTATTGATGCATAATTTTAGTGTTTCGACCGATATTTCAAAGGATCAGGCATTCCAATATTCCATATCATTTTTCACATTTTCAGAAAATTCTAAATGGCTATATCAATTTCCCAGTACTTTGAGGTTCCGTAGCAGTTCATTTCACGTCGAGAGGTTGACGCGGCGAAGCGCTTTCGAGTGCTTTGCCCATTGACTACGCAACAATAACGTCTAATAGCAAGGCAGCTAACGACGCTTTTTTGTGTTTTTTATAAAGAAATTTTCTATAGACAAGGGTTGTGAGAGCACAGTGTTTAGTTGGGCTATGGAACTTGAAATTTGAAGCAGATATTGAGATTCTCATTCTGGGCTTTAATGATTTACAATACATAAATCAAAACGTATTTTAGAATGATTCCATTCTTTAATTTCAATATAGCCTCTTAAAAACTCTATAAACGTAATGAATCTAGAAGTGATAAAAAACAACTAAAAGTTTGTTTTTCCAATTTTCCCTGAAACTCATTTCCACCTGCTCAAAATAAAACTGCTTAAGGTTTAACGATTTTCAGACAAGGAAAATAATTTAACATTAAAGTTTGTCTTACCAAATAACTTTATGAGATTTTTTGAAGTCTTTAAAAACAAAGTTTTAAAAAATATGGCAAGAGGAGAGCTGAACAACTTACTAAATATACATAATATACATCGTTACTGGGTAAGTCGACCCAATTACTTTAAAGGGTTGTAGTTGTCATCATTTCTGATAGATTTCGTTATGAAATATCATATCCCAAACCCAATTACTTTCAAGATATTGGACTATTAAGTTTTTAATAAAAATCGCCGAAATTTTGCCTAATATTTTTTTATAACATATATCCTTTATTTTATGTTTTTTTTTTGCTGTTTTAGTGTAGTTGATCCATTGTTTTATAATTTCCATTACTGAAATTGTAATTGACTGACTTGAATAATAGCAAAAAGAAATATCCGATAAAAGTCCGATATCTTGAAAATGGTTAGGTTTGGGATATGGTATTTCATAGTAAAATCTATCAGAAATGATGGCACATACAACCCTTTAAAGTATTTAGGTCGACTTACCCAGTAACCCTGTATATTCCACCTACCAAATCATTCCATGAAATTGTGTGTTGAACTTATAAAAATAGAGATCCTTTTTAATTTCCAGACAATTAAGTTTAGTATTTCCCTTTATTTTTAATTATTTTTTGCTCGTGCATACCCTCTTTATTAACATGAACCGCGAAATGTAAAACGTAAACAAAAGGGAACACTTCACAGCGAGAATGCGAGATATGTCAGCTATGCGAGTGGATGCTACAAGTAAAGGATTGTTTGCATATACTGGTGCTGGGGACAAGTACAGCTATTTCTTGTTTGTGTATTCTAAACAGTAAGTGCAAACACGGTTCTCTACTGTAAACGAAACTATTAACATTTTATTACCTTACTCAAGATTAAATCTTCCATACCTTAATCACTTTTATATGTGTAATTAATATATCATAAATGGGTAGTCAAATTTATTACAAACTGCATGGTGATCGAATTTCTGTATTCAAATAACTTGAGCGGTTCTTATAAATTAAAGTATCGTTGTCTAGGCTGGACCACCAGACACTGGACACTTGAAGTTTAAATTCATAACCTAGGTATTCTAACTTTGTAAGCAATATATTTTTTACGCCCGTTTAAATTTTCAGAAATTATCCATCTTATAAAAACAGGTGAAATGTATTAAGTCGAACATTTAAAATCAAACTAAATTTGTAATTTTAAAAGTATTCAATCCGTTAAGAAGAAAAAAAAAACATTTCAATAACAATTTTGTCCGATTTTATACTTTAAGACAACAAAATATGAACAAATCAACTTTCACACTAATGACAGATACGTAGAATATTATAAAATGTATAATGGTAAACTTAGGTTTAACCCTTTTGCTCTATTTCCATTGCAGAGATCAGATTTCACACAATTAAAAAAAAGCATTTGTTAAACACACTTATACACTTGTATTCTGACTAATGCTTGGTAAATGCTTTCAAAATGCAGTAGTTTTATTAAATTTTGTTGTTTATACACAAATATTAAAACTGTTCACTAAATTCATCCATCTATAAAGTAAATCGAAACATAATCAGAAAAGGTTGGGTATAATATTTTATGTCAGTGAAAAATCATTACATACTTACACAAGAGCAAAATAACGCTCCAGAACTAGTGATGTAATAAATCTAACTTATACTGCCAACTCGCACTCAGTCATAAATCGCACATTTTTAGGACCCAGTGCATGGGTTACGAATCGTAAATCTTTTGAGTGTATCCCTCGGGGTAACACTCCAGATACTCATTTTCTGTAGATGCTACGGACTTGTAATATTTCTTTAGTCAATCGCAATAATAAAGATATTGCTTAGGGTCAAGAATATTTTTGTGTTAACGCCATCTATGTTGTGAAAGTAGAAACACGATTATTTGCAATAAATTAATCCAAAATCATAATATTATTATGACTTTTGATTTTAGTAAGTTCTTTTCCATAAACCCTTGGCCATAAATTAATGTATTGACGCCCTACATCGTAATCACCACGAAAATATTATTCTTCTGGTGTCCATTTTACTCTTCATTTACATTTAACCTAAATTTAAATGAATTAAATTTAAATTTTACTTTTTTCATGTTCTCAAGCGGCCACAGGTTTTTTTGGATGAGAAGTAGTAGTTACTACCTTCCCAATATATAAATGGATAAAATGAAAAAAGATTATAAATTTAATATTTAAAATTCAATATTTTCTCATAATAATCATTCAAAAGTTTAATAATTTGATACTTTCTAGACAAGACCTTTTAAC